AGCATCGCCTCCCACCCTGCCCCAGCATGACCTCCCATCCTGCCCCAGCATGGCCTCCCCCCCTGCCCCAGCATGGTCTCCCAACCCTGAATATTCTTTTTTCTTTCTCCGAATTAGAAGGTGCATCTACTCCACTCTCCCACAAGGTCAGCTTCAGCATAGCATTGTTTGCAGGTTGCTGAGGTTACCTAGATCTGCTTGGAAGACTATGTTTGTCTTAGTCTTTCTGTGGGGTAGAAAGAGCCCCTTATAGCTGGATCAGATGGGGCAGAGACTAGATACTCTGTTTGGCAGGAGCTGGCTGTCAGAAATGAAGTGGGCCTGGTGGACAACCCTCTGAAGATTTCCTGGTTGGAGGGTCAGCCCCAGGGCACAGTGGATCACAGTGACGCAGGATTATCAAAGGTAAAAAGGCCAGAAGTCACCGCTGGGTCTGCTTGGGGTCTGGGACCCTTTCAGCTTCTACTTTCTCAGGCCCTTTGTTCCCAAGTCCAGATCAGAGTAAAATGCAGTGGGTGGGTTCAGTCAGTCCAAGAGGGCTGACTCTCTGCTCATCCCTGTTCTCTATGAGGTACCTGTTAGGAAAAAATCCTAAGAGGGGCGGCTCCGCCGGCGCAAAGAAATTCAATTAGGTCAGATCAAACCAAATTAAAATGCCCATCGTTTTATTAAATACAGTGGTCTTGGGTGGCTGAGCGCATGGTGGGGAGACAGGAAAGTGGGGAGCACATGCAAACCCTGAACCACGTGTTTCTCCTCTGGGACCCCACTTAAGTATCCTGTGGGAATGGTCCTGACCCTCCCCCAGGGAGGGGAACCTGGCATGCTGGGATTTGGAGTCCAGACCAATGCAACTCCCAAGCCAGGGGTCTGGGATGGATGCCAGGAGCTGGGGTTACGCTCCCAACTTAACAGAACCAGAGGACCCTATTCTACCTTCCTTCCTTCCTTCCTTCCTTCCTTCCTTCCTTCCTTCCTTTCTTTCTTTTTTCCTTCCTTTCTTTTTTTGGTTTTTGGAGACCGAGTTTCTCTGTGTAACTCTGGCTGTCCTGGAACTCACTCTGTAGATCAGGCCGGCATCAAACTCAGAGATCCACTTGACTCTGCCTCCCAAGTGCTGAGATTAAAGGCATGTACCACAACCTGGTGTTTTTTTCTTTTCTATTTTTTTTTTTCTGGCAATGTATCAAACCCAGGGTCCTGCTCATAATTAATCCACATGCTACCAATGAAGTACACGTCCAGAGTGACACAAAAGTTGGCCCATGCCAGACATGGTGGTGCAGACCTTTAGTCCTAGCACTCGGGAGGCAGAGGCAGGTGAATCTCTGTGAGTTCAAGGCCAGCCTGGTCTACAGAGTGAGCTCTAGAATAGCCAGGGCTACACAGAGACTCCCTGTCTTGAAAAAACAAAAAGAAAAGAGAAAAGGAAAAGAAAAAAGTTGGCCCATGCGTGTCTCCTATTGGAGCTCTCGTTGGATTTGGAGGTTAGACAACCCTGTGCTGGATGAAGAGGCCAGCAGGCAAGGGACTAGAGCAGACGCTGATGAGCTCGTCTCTAGAGAGAGCATCCCACCCTGTGTTGAGCCTAGAGTGCTGTATCTGCTGCTCCGCTTGTGGCCACTTATGCTCCTTCTAACTGCCTCTGAGTCCTCTCGACTCCACAGAGGCTAGTGTTCACTGTCTCAGTCCTCCCGACTCCACAGAGGCTAGTGTTCACTCTCTCAGTCCTCCCGACTCCACAGAGGCTAGTGTTTACTCTCTCAGTCCTCCCGACTCCACAGAGGCTAGTGTTCACTCTCTCAGTCCTCCTGACTCCACAGAGGCTAGTGTTCACTCTCTCAGTCCTCC